TTTTTAAAATACAACAATATTTTTAAACTCATACTATTTTTCAGGCATTGTAAGACACTCACACACCAATTCAAAATTTTTTGAAAAGATGAAGCCATTTGAATCACCTATAATTCATTGTCAGAAAAAAAAAATTGCTGTTAACAATGTTATAAAGTTCCAGTTTCTTTCCGCATATGCATTCTTAATTAACAATCAAATTGAAACACTATATTTTGTGTTCTGCTTTTTATCAATTGTATGGAATATATTTGACATTTTTCCACAAAGTTAGTCTTCAATAGCAAGATGTCTGCATAGAAAAATAATATTTTCATTGTTGTTGAGTATTTTAACTATCCTTTCCACCCAATAAATAAATAAAGGTCATTTCCAGTTTTCAACTTCTCAACTCACATCTTTGTATGCAAACTTGTTCGTACAGGGTCAGTATGAGTTGGAACAGACTCCTCAGTTCTTAACCTTTGTCATATGTTGTAACTGTTTTTCCTCTTGTCCTTTTAAACTTTTATGTTATCAGGTACCATGTTTGAGTCGCTAGCAACTCAAAACCATCCTGGTCCTGGGCCAACCTCACATCATTGCTACGCCTTGAGCTCCCTGCTGCTGCCACTGTGCCAATCCATCTTGTTGAGGGTCTTCCTTTTTTACCTCTGACCCTCCACTTTACCAAACACAATATCCTTCTCCAGGGACTGGTCCCTCCTGACAATATGTCCCAAGTATGAGAGACAAAGTCTGGCTATCCATTGAGGACTTACTTCTTCTCCATGTAGCTAAAATTTATTTATTTTTCCCTGTGTGGGTTCTTTGCTTGTTTAAGTACTTACAAAGTCCTTTCTTTACCCAAGGACAAAAAAAATCAATATATGTTCTTTTTGCGGTAATAAGGGATGTGACAGGATTATATGATTACAGCCTCTGAATCCATTTACAACCTTTTCCAGAAAAGTGAACTTTTATCACATTTCCAAATCCCTCAAATTAGATAATACTTGTATGTGATGTTGTTGTTGTTGTTAAGTGCCTGCTAGTCAATTCTGACTCAGCAACGCTGTATAGGGTTTCCCAGGGGATACTGGTGGGTTTGAACAGCCAACCGTGCAGTTAGCAGTTCAGTGTTTATCCTGGAGTGCCACACCAGGACTCCTGACTGTATGTCGATGACGGATTAATTTTTAATACACAACTACAATTAGTTCCATGGCATGTTTCCACAAATCTCATTATCCCCACAGAACAGTTGGTGGGTTTGAACAGCCAACCGTGCAGTTAGCAGTTCAGTGTTTATCCTGGAGTGCCACACCAGGACTCCTGACTGTATGTCGATGACGGATTAATTTTTAATACACAACTACAATTAGTTCCATGGCATGTTTCCAGAAATCTCATTATCCCTACCTTGGACACAATATCTTCTCCACAGTTAGGGAGGAATCCTTTCTCCTCTCTCCCTCTCTTTTAATTTTCGCCCATCTACACTGCCCGGGGCCAGTTCACTGTCCCTTGGCGCTGGACTTCAGGGTATCCCACTCCTTACCGCCAGACTCCGCGCCTCTCGCCCTCTGCCCTTCATACCCTAGCCCAGGGACCTGCTCACAAACCTAGGTGCAGGAGCTCCGTCGCTATGGCCTTTCCAATGCCCGTGCCCCCACCGGTGACGACGGCCACTTGGTTCCGCAGCAAGCCAACTGTCAGACCGCTCCTGCTCTTGATCACAGAGGTCATGGCCGCGGAGACTGAAAGGCAAAAGCAGAGAGGGCCAAGCTGTCTGTCACCTCAGATCCCAGAGGCCTTAGAGAGCCCGTGTCAAGGGGTAAGTGTCCGGGCCCACGTGATCATTTAGGCCCCGCCCCGACCCCGTTTCTTAGCCCCGCCTCACCCTGAGCCACCAAAGCTTCTGGATCCGCTAGGCGCCGCTGGACTGCTCCCAAGCAGCTGTTCTCTACCACCCGTACCCTCCGCCAGCTCCGCTCCCCGGGCACGTGTAGGTGAGACCTATCGTTCTTTTTTTTTTTTTTAATTTTTTTTTTTTTTTTTTTAAATTCAATACCTTTGTGTGTGGGGAGGGGAACGGGAATGTGCTCTATTTTGAAATTCAATCCTCATTGCTATCGCTCTCAAGGTGAATTAAATTTCAATTCCCAGTGTGACTGGGAAGAGAGAAAGCTGCAGCTCGGGAGGCCTTGCTGCGCCCGCCCACAGCGGACGTGGGGCGATGCTGGGGCTCCGGCTGCTGAGTGCAGCTGGCCGGGAAGAGGACGACGGGCAGGCTTAACTGAGGGGCAGAAATCCCACTTCCAGACCCATTCGCTCTGAGCGTGAGCCGGGGGTAGGTGTGGGGGCTATGGTTGCAGTTATCCACAGAGCGAAGATAATAAATGATTTGTAGAATAAACTCAGCCCCACCTCCACTTCCTCTCCCTCTCCCCACCCAGGATGAAGGGAAGAAGCCACCTTTACCATTTCAGCCGGCCTGCATAACGGACGATGAGTCCAAAGAGGATCTTTCCTTGCGGGGTGCATGCCTCCTGCGAGAACGCGTCTGTGGTGTGGATTTGGGGTCCTGCTCATTTCTTTTGCTGGAGCACGAGCCTTCTGAGGGCGGGGGTAGGGTGGGGGGTGGGGGGAGTTTCTGTCTGTGATTTGATGTCCAGTTACTGTGATTTATTATTCAGATTCTCATTCCTAGTGTTCATCCCGTTCAACCCACCAGAGGTAAATTGCACTTGGACTGGCCCGGTGAGACTTCATCTAACCACTTGGCCGTTGTGGCAGGTGCTATGGTTTTAACAATCCAGACAGGATGCAGTTTCTAAGTCTAATGCTAAACAGTTTTGTATTTTCCTTCGTCAAATACTAAAATAATTTTTAAAACAACTATCACCATTCTTTCGTTGGGCCCACCACCTAGGATTCACAAACTGGAAATCAGCCTGGTTGGTGTGGGATGGGCCTCACTTCCTCCAAAGGGTCTCACCCACCAACCAGGCTGCGGTTCTTCCTCACCAGCTACGTTTCCTCCCACTGCCTCCATCCCCCATCCCTCTTTGACCTCTTTTTAGAAACACATCCTCTTTTCTCTTTTTCTACCCCTATATATTGGAAGTGAGATTCCAGTTTACATTAATTGTTGTTGTTGTTATGTGCCGTGGAGTCGGTTCCGACTCATAGAGAACCTGCACAGGGTTTCCAAGGCTGTAATCTTTATGGGAGCAGAACACCTTATCTTTCTCCCGCGGAGCAGCTGATAGTTTCAAACTGCTGACCTTGCGTTGCATAAATTAAAGAAGAAAAAATATTTCTTCTACTTTTCCTTTGCTAGGGAGATTTAGAGGACCAACTTAAGCCAATTGTGTTTTTGGTAAGGGCCACCGAGTTGGTTCTGACTCATAGAGAATCTGCATAGGGTTTCTGAGACTAAATTTTCACAAGAGCAGAAAGATTCCTCTTTCTCCCACAGAGTAGTTAGTGGATTTGAACTACCAATCTTGTGGTTAGCGATCTAGGGCTTATCTTTTAGCACTACTGGCACTCCCTAAGCCATTTGTGTGGTTGGTGGTGTTGGTAGTGGTGTGCCGTACAGTTGGTTCCGACTCATAGCAACCCTGTACTGGGTTTCCAAGGGTGTAAATCTTTTGTTGTTGTTGTTGTGAAGTGCCGTCGAGTCGGTTCCGACCCATAGCGACCCTGTACAGGGTTTCCAAGGGTGTAAATCTTTACGGGAGTAGAAAACCTCATCTTTCCTGTATAAATCTTTACAGGAGGAAAAAGCAGAAAGCCTCATCTTTCTCCCGCAGAATAGCTGGTTATTTCGAACTGCTGACTCTGAGGTTAGCAACCTGATTTGTGACCACTACGCCACCAGAGCTCCTTAAGCTCCAACTCATAGTGACCCTGTACAGGGTTTCTGAGGCTATAAATCTTTACAGAAGCAGAAAGCCTCATCTTTCTCCTGCGGAACAGCTGGTAGTTTCGAACTGCTGACCTTGAGGCTCGCAGCCCGATTCGTAACCATAACGCTACGAGAGCTAGTTATGGCCAAATGAAAGCAATTACAACACCTTTTTTAAAAAAAAAGTAAGTTTAGATAGAAAAGTTCAAAGTACTGTTGCAGAAAAGTATAATTTTGATGTTTTGATACTAATGACAAAATATCTTTTTGGCAGAAAAAGTTCTGTGAGGTATATTATTCCAGAAAATTCCAAGCTTTTTTTTTTTTTTTTTTAGGGGGTGGGGTGAAGAGACTTTAAATTCCTTTTAAAGATGACTGAAGTTATAATTGAATGTGGTGTCTGACCAGCTCTGGACCTGTGATGTACCTGTAGGGGCTGTCCGGAGGGGGGGTCGCCCAATGTGGGCCCAACCATCCCACAGTCCTATGACTGGTCTGAGAAAGGAATTCTGACATCTTCCAGTGAAAAGATGGTTGGGGCTGTGGACAGTTCTGACTCCCATGAGGGATGACAAGGAGCCATTCTTCAGCTCCAGGGAAATTGCAGAGTGAAGGGACCCAGTTTGCAGCCAGGGAGCTCTTTCTCATAGTCAGGGTGGAGCCTGTGATTGAGAGAGTTATGGGCTATCTTCTTGAGATCTTTGTTTAAAACTAAGGAGAGCCAGGGTTTGAAAAGCTACTTAGTGACGCTGTGGGTTAATGTGCCAGACTGCAAAGCCGTTTGAACTGCAAGGTCGGCAGTTTAAGCTCAACAGCTGCTCCTCGGAAACCCTATACAGGGTCGCTATGGGTCGGAACCAACTCGCTGGCACTTAACAACACACAACTATCCTAAAAAGCCAAAGACACAACAGTAGCTCTGCTGCTTGGAGACACTTTGTCTCCAGATTGTACTCTGGCTCCTTTGGGGAACCACCCATACTGCATTGGCCATTCTCTGATTGAAACAAATCCTGCTCTTCCGGGCTTTCTGTATCATTGCTTTCTTTGTCCTGGGGAAGAAGGCAGCACCATGATCCTTCCATATTCCCACTTAGTCACACCCATTAGAAACGACTCCCTTCATCTTCTGAGATGCAGTTTCTACTCACCCAACTTCCCCCCCCACCCCCACCCCCCACCACACTCACCTGGTGACTTCTTCCCCGCCACACACACCATCTGGCAAATCAGCTGCTTTGGCTCAGACTGACAAGAGCCTGCTGCACTGTAGGACCCAAGGAATATCATTGAGGCATCTTGGTCCCACCTCACCTTAAAGAAAGACCACTCCCGAGCCAATTTACACAGATTAAGACTCTTATCAATTTACATCATTCAGCTGATCATGACTGAGTAACTGCCATCACCAGACCTGTTCTGGTGGACAAAAAGCAAAAACGAAACCCACTGCTGTCAGGTCGATTCTGACTCAGGACCACCCTGTATAGGGCTTTTTAGGCTATACATTTTTACAGGAGCAAAAGCCTCATCTTTCTCCTGAGGAGCAGCTGGTTGGTTTGAATTGCCAGCCTTGTGCTAGCAGTCCAGTATATGAAAGGTTGCTTGTTCAAACCCACCAGCCACTCGACAGGAGAAAGATGTGGATGTCTGCTTCCGTAAATATTTAGAGAGGTGATGAGCAGGGGTGCTCACATGCCTCACTGTGAGAACCTTTCAGGATCAGGTAGGTTAGGCAATGACAAGAGACATGCTCATGAGACCAAGAAGGAACAGGTGGTTGCCTGACTGTGCACAAAACCAGTTGACAACAACTGGCCAGGGGCTAGAAGTATTAAGATGCTCTATCGTGGTTCCAATCATTTGACCCTTAAAAACCAAAAAAGCTTTTATTGTGAATTGAGTGAAAGTTTACAGAGCAGATCATCAGTTTTGCATTCAACAATTCATTGCAATGTTACAATGCCCTCCATGCATCATCTGTTAGCAGTATTTACCTCTATATCCCCCCTTTTTTTTTCAAATGTACACATGTTAAGTGCCATCGAGTCGGTTCCGACCCATAGTGACCCTGTACAGGGTTTCCGAGGCTGTAAATCTTGACGGGAGCAGAAAGCCTCATCTTTCTCCCGTGGAACAGCTGGCAGTTTTGAACTGCTGACCTTAAGGTTCGCAGCCCGATTCATAACCACTACGCTACCAGAGCTCCTTTAAATGTACACATACCACACTGAAAATTCATATTTAAATATTCAAAGGGCACATTTTGCAAGCCAGCCTCCTGGCCACAGGCACACTACCTTTCTCTGTCTCTCTATGCCATCACCTCTGCCACCATCTCTGTTGCTGCTTTTCTGGTTAGGATCCCTCGCTCCTCTCATGATCTTCCCTCTTGATGGTCCTAGGATCCTCTGTTCCTAAAATGACAGATTAACTGCTCCCCCTTGTAGTTACACCTCTTCTCCATTTACAGTTGTGACAATTGCCATTAGTCCTAATAAAAATTAAAATTGAATCATAAAATCCTATCCCCATCATCCCAAAACCCCTTTCATCAGACCCATCTGGACAAGAGGAAAACTTGTCCAGTGGGGATACTATCTTAGTCCCCTCATTCTGACACTAAGCACCCTCATGAAAGCTTGTAAGCCAGCCACTTCATACCTTTATAGCCCTTCATTTTTGATAGCCAAAATCCAAGTTGCCTGTCCCTATCAACCCAGTGTACTGAGGAGGCAAACTTGATCCTTGATAAGAATCCTTCCCTTTCGATTGGAATTTTGCACAACTTCATCCATAAGCAAAGGTCTAGTTCACCAAGTTGTACCAATTT